ATTTTCTTTTCAGCTCAGTCCCTATATTAATCAGGGGTTGCCACACCGGAATCTCCAAAAAAAAATCCAAGCAAAACTAATTCCGTCAGAACATCATCAAAATACATTTATATTTATATCACTGCATTACCTTGTTGAACAATGAGGACACAAATATTGACTAAGCCTTTAATTTTATTATTTGCAAACTAAATTAGCAGGCACAGAAATAAAGCAACGTTTACACATCATTAATTAACATCATTAATTGCCAGACTCCTGTGCAATTATTTGGACAGTGTGATGGGTGCATGGTGCGACTTCTTGTCTCAGTAACATGTCTTCCACAGTGGTGATATTTTCAATAGTATGGGCAGTACATGGACGACCACTCCCCACCACATGAAATACTGATCCAGTGCGATCAATTTCCTCCAACAAGTAATCCAATCCACTTCTGGATCACAATTAATCCAATATTTAGTCGAATATTATAAATTACAAATATATCGTTTTAATAGGTTATAGCAGGATTTTTCAAAGTCTAAGACAGTGGGCCTCCCTTTTGACACATCTTATCCATTGGCGCCCCCCTCCTCCCAAACACGCACACACACACACACACACACACACACACACACACACACACACATATATATATATATATATATACAGTATATATATATATATATATATATATATATATATATATATATATATATATATATATATATATATATACATATACAGTATATATATAAAGACAGATGTCAGACTGTTAACTCACTTTTATCATCATTTGCATGAAAGTGCAATTATTTACAGAGTAATGACAAGTATTTTAATATAACGTTTTTAAAACTAGGATGATGGTTCAATATGAATAGAACAGATCCAAGAACTGTCCATCCCAGTCAAAACAGTCAAAGTTTAGTGGGTCTCATGCTGTCATTAGCCAAAATATTTTGACAAAGCACACATAAAGGTCGTGGTTCATCAGCTGGTCCTGTCCACGTAAATCCTAAACTCAAATACTGATCATCATATCGCCGTCTTTTGGGTTTAAGCCCTGAACTTGAAGGCTTTGAATCGGGGGGTCTCAGAAACCGATCCATTGTATTAGCAGGCATATACCTGTGTAGGCGGGCTTGACAAACAGAAACGAATTCACAGCTATGGCCTTCTGGGTAAAAAAGGTTTTCTTATTTTAGATGTATTCTTTTTTTTTAGCTTAGTTTAATTAAAAGGTTTAAATATATATATATATATATATATATATATATATATAATAATTAAACTTAATAATTGTATTTTTATTATATAATATTTTTTCCCGCGCCTCCCCTGACATGCTCTGCACCCCCCCCCCCCCAGGGGAGGCGCGCCTCACACTTTGAAAACCCCTGGGTTATAGGGACCTATAGGCACCTATAGGTGTTGCAACTGTGTGTGAATATACTGTAGCCAGCCATGGTAAAAATGAATTAATTATAGATTTTTATAATCACACTTGGTAAAATGTATAATGTGTACAACTATTTGTCAATGAATGGTACAGAATACTGTTGTGATAGTGTATAATAAAGTCCTAAAGTCTGCTGAATAATTTCTTTATTACTACAGTTGTGTTGTACCTCAGCAACAGTTTAATTACTACAACAGTTTAATTCAAATGATTATCTATAGTATGCTAAACACTATAGTATTTATTTTTCCCTGTAACATAAGCTTGTACAGTTTATACCGCCTCGATGACAGGCAAATATATTTTAGTTCAATAGAAAAGTCTGCCTCTGCTTGATTTAAAGATCAAGCCCAACATATGTGCTTATTTTCTATTTATATCTCCTTTGAAATATGGTACAAATCGCAAAAATATGGACTTTCCTCTATGTCAGTGGTTCTCAAACGTTTTTCATCAAGTACCACCTCAGAAAAAAATTGTCTCTCCAAGTACCACCAAAATGAGCAGTATTGAAATACAGTAGCGTAGTAGGCCCAGTAAAGCAGCTACAACTCTGCACAGTTAAAAAAAAAAAACTAGGCAGATTACCTCAGAAATATAGGCTATATGTCATTTATAGCATATTATATACATCATTTTTGATCAATTTTGAAATGTGTGTAGCATGTACATGACATATTTCATTCCTCTGCGTACCACTAGAAGGAAGCCTGCGTACCACTTGGGTACACGTACCACAGTTTGAGAAGCACTGCTCTATGTCTCCCACTTTATGCCCAGCATCTGCATTTTGCGAGTCACCAGAACCACGTGATTAAAAACAACCTATTGTTAAAACTACTTAAACATCTCATAAAAAATGAAGATAAATTTAAATAAAGTTATTTAAGGGACATATTACAATGTTTCTGAAGGATCAAAAATGTTTCTTCAGTATTTCAGTCCTAAATCTGTATCTCCTTTATGTAGTATCAAAATGCTGAAGCAACAGCCTGAGTTCTTTTCTACAGAGCGTTAAGTGTCGATTTGTAAGCCCATACACTGTACACCTGAATGCATGAGCAAGTATAAACGCTTACCATAATCACATAAACAAACCCAGGTTCACTACTGAATCCATGCGCTTAACACAGCAATGAATTCAACCCTTCAATTAGCATTCCTTTCCTTTCTCTCTCTGTCCTCCTCCTCTCTTTTCCTCTTCTCTCGGCAGTTACATAATCTGCTGCAGAAGCTAAAAATGGACAGGTAAAGACAATTATAGCTCCACAATAGCTGCCTGACAGTGAGTCATCATGCCGTTCGTGTGTGTGTGTGCACGAATGCACCATAACATTTGTCAGTACTCTGTTTTTAGCAGTTCAGCCATGCATGTGCGGAACTTTTCCTTTCTGGTTTGCATTGGTGGATTTGTTTCAGCAGTTAATCATTTGATCCTTAACTTAAATCACAAAAAGTGATTAATCATAGTTAAGTGTGTTTACATTTCTTGGAGATCATTGCAGACGGACATAAATGGGTTGCCATGGCGACTGGACCCAAGCGGAGGTTCTGTAATGAAAACGTCTCATACTGCGACTTCTCCTTCCCCCTCATTATGCCTCTTTTGCCCTTTTTAGCAGACCCAAATCATACTCCAACTTCATAAGCAAAGGGCACTAACATTTTTCTGTACATGAAGACAAATGAATGCTACAGTGCACTACAGAAACGATGGACACTTGTACAGTATATAATTTCCCTCTGATGAATGAATTATGAAAGCCTGAGGAAAAAAAATCATTATTTTCGTAATGTCTGTATTTTTCTGTATATGGCATAAAAAAGATTTACACATAAAATATTTGTATATTTTTGGTTGTTCAAACTACTTATTTACAATGGGCTGATTCAACACAATTCTTGAGTTTTTTTGGAGAACACTTAATTGTATTTTGCTCAATCCACTTAAATTTGAAAAAAACTTAATCGATTTGTGTTGGGACTACATTGTGTGGATCCCAGCATTTTCTACAGATAAACATAAACCAGTATGTATGTAATGTATTTAAATATTAAATCCATTAACAATTATTTAATTCAATGCTGTAGCATATATGTTGTAGTTTAAACTTAAGTACTGCAGGGAGTTGATGTGTTTTACTGCTAAAATGACTTTCATAAGTCCTGGGTCTAAAAAGTCTGAGAGTTCAGAGTTCAAAGTCTGAGAGAAAATGCAAATTAAATTGCCACTTTAGAGCTAAAATGTACTGTCCACATATGTGGCCACTAAGCCCTGGGAGGTTAATTCTCTCTTAATTCTTACACTTGTATATGCCCTATTAAAGACATTAGACAAACTAAGGATGCATGAATTATGTTTTATGTATTTCTAAAAGTGTCATGTTTGGTGTTATTCTTCTCCGTACACAATTCTACAGCTCATGATCTAAGATGTAGGATGATTGTATGCTTTTTTAAACCATGAGTTAAACCATGAGTGTAATTTCAATCCATGAGTTAATGTTTTGTCTGTCTGTCTTGCGACGGTACAGACCAGTGAGGAGGAACAAAGAAAGTTTGCCTTGGGACTTCTCTTCTCACACCTTAGCATAAAAATAGAGCTTTTCAAGTCACCTGCTGAAACTGTATTCATATCCCAATATATATCGCTGAAAAAGAAAAATTCGCAATGACAGATTTTTCCAATATCGTGCAGCCTTTATCCAAATGCCAATAATATGGTCAGTTCATCAATCTCTATGGGTCCCACTGGGTTTTAGACATGTAAATAAAATGTCACAGGTGTACATATATAATTATGTACAGTACAGCAATAATCAATTGCACTGAATGAAGTCAACTTCAGTGGAAACAAGTTTAATAATAATTAAATTGTAAAAATGCTATAACTTAAATGTTATTCCATATTATTTTTTATATTTTTCATTTTGATATATTTTTTAAATGTATTGTCAGAAGCCAGGGGTGTTCATTTTTTTTTTTATTTACTGCATACTTTTTATTTTGGGAGCAAAAATGACAGTAGCCATTGACTAACATTATATGAAACACTAATGACCACAATTTTACCATGAAAAACTCAATTTTGTTTACCAAATATAAAAAAAAAATCACCTCCATCTTGAATCGCCTGAGGGTAAGTAATCTAACAAGGTTTTCTAATTTGATTTACACAATAAATATACAGATATTGTGATAAACACAGCCACCGTAATTTCCATAAAATCTATTCATCCAACCCATTCATATATAAACCATTCTATTAACTAATTCACCAGGCAGTCAATATATCCCCTTATCATTCAAATGACTAATCCATCATTAATGCAAACATCCAGTCTCGATCAATACACTCCTCCGTCCCAATGCATCCATTATTCATCCATTTATCATTACAGTGACAATCTATCTTTCATCCAAATCCTTAATTCATCAATCTATTGCTCCATCACCCAATTTATTCATCCATTCAACGAGGCCTGATGTTCACGAACACATTCATCCATCAATAATCTGTTTATCAGTTAGCCTGCCAGCGCAGATTGTGTCCTACCTGCGCCGGTGAGTAGAGTCTCCTGATGCTGTTGGGTTCGTGGGCCACTGGGTGTGTGATTGGAGAGTGAGGGGGAACAACGGAGCAGGATGCAGCCCCCTGATGCCCCATGCCGGTCCTGTCGGCTACGGCTACCCCTCCGCCGATGCAGCAGAGCGTTCCCTGGGCCAGCTCCATTTCAATCTCGGCATCCATCTCTGCCTCCTCCTGGGCCTCCTTGTTTGAGTCGTCCAGGTGTTTCATCAGCACCGCCACCACCACATTGATGAGGACAAACTGGGCCGTGAGCACAAAGCTCACAAAGTACAGCGGGGAGATGAATTGTAGGCTGGGATTACAGGTGTATTCGCCTGGCGGACATTCACGGAGAGTGTCCTGCAGAAGCGAAGAGAGTAAACACACATCAACTTGTGCAACAGCTATAGTTGATGGCAAAATGATTATCCCTGTAAAATTTTTATAAATATTTTTCAAGTGATGTTTAACAGAACAAGTACATTTCCACAGTATTTCCTTATATATATATATATATATATATATATATATATATATATATATATATATATATATATATATATATATATATATATATATATATATATATATATATATATATATATATATATAATTATTATTATTATTATTATTATTTATTTATTTATTTATTTTATTTATTTATTTTTTTTACTTTGGCTGGACTAAAAACAGTTTTTACATTTTTGCATGATTTTTAAGGTCAGTATTATTAGCCTCCTTAAAAAAATCTGTTGTTGTTACTGTTGACTAAATAACCTAATTAACCTTGTTAAGTCTTTAAATTGCACTTTAGGCTGAATACTAGAATCCTGCCAAATATCTAGTAAACAATTATGTACCATCATCATCATGGCAAAGACAAACAATAACAATTAGTTATTAGAAACAGTTATTTAAACTATTATGTTGAAAAAACGTGTTGATTTTTATCTCTGCTTAAAACAGCAATTGGGAAATATTTATGAAAAAAAAATTAATAACTAAATAAATCACGTTCACTACCCAGATTTACAATACATTGAAAACACTTTTTGCAAACAATGATAACATTTTCTATTTTATACTTTTTTTTTTTAGGTGTAAGAAAATCCCTTAAAGGTGCAGTATGTAAGTTTGACACCCAGTGGTTTAACTAGGTATTGCATTCATGGATCAAAACAAACACAAGCGCAGGTTGCCAGTTTGAGGCTGATTTAAATAGTGACCTATATAAAAACAATGGCATGCGACAGAAGGCGTATTTTTCATGCTCAATAGAGCTTTTGTCCTAACCTACACCTCCAATTGATATATTATAAATTGCTTCCATTGTTTTGCAGCTGAACAACAGAAAACTGACAATAATCACTTCAGCTAAACCTCATGTGCTTTATGTAATGTTAAATGCTAACAATGTGAGTTTGATGCCACATTTACATGACATTTATTGCCATACTACTGAAAGCAGCAGCAGATAGTTCACCTCAGATCTTGAAAATAAACTAAACCCTTTGAAATAGAACTTCATATCAGTCTTCATATGAATTACATATCAGTGATTCAGCATGTTCATTTAATAACGATAAGAGGTTTTATATACAGTAATTAGATTATAAACCTTAACATTTCGTGAGTGAGTGCTTATTCTGTGCTTCTGAATGGCTGTATTTAAATTTCTGTCGTGTTTCATCTGGTGCAAACAGCCAAATTACTTATCAATGCAAATCTCGTCAGGTAGCGTGTTGTTATGAATCAGGGTTACAATGTAACCTGCTTACCTAATGTTTATGCTTGAGAGCCTTTCTGAATGAATGAAATACACGGTTTTCCATCAAGGCGACCCGGGGTGCTGAAATATAATTGGCTAACCTGACTTTGGGCGGGTTAAAAGAACCAAAACAAAGTCAGCGTTCCGGCACGTAACTCACATTTTTAAAGCAAAATATCTGACTTCAGCATTGTTTATCAGATAAACAAGAATGTTCCTGTAGCATGTTTTTTAAATATCTGCAAGCATATTATGGCATTTTTATGCTTTACAAGAGTCAAAAACTTACATAAATAATATGAATTTGACTAAAGCATTTATTTTACTCTACTACTTTATTTTACACTGGAAAACAAGACACAAACACTGGTTATTTTTGCATTGTGTCTCAGATGTCAATAATGTGAAATTACTTCTGTGACTTCTGCTTAACAGAATTTTGGTTGTGTGCTGACAAATTGACACCATATTCTGAGCCTATTCAACTATTATACTAGATAAGCTGGACTGCAATAAATCAATGGAAAGCAGGACAAATGTATTGATTAAATTATTTTTGCACTTTGTCAGAGATGTCAATAATACAAAATTACTTCTATTTATGTAAGTGCTGTTTACCAGCAAATGTATGCTGAACACTTGATGCAGAGACCATTACGCTATAATATTAGATTAACTACAGTGCAATAAAATAATGGAAAACAAGACAGAACTACGCAAATGCTTTTTGCATGATGTGTGATTTAAAAACAAAAGTCAAGTTATTATTTAAATCCTTTTCTCTTGTTTTACAGGAAAAAAAATGGAAACAATGTTTAAAAAAGGCACTGAAATGGTAAGCTTTTCAACATTTAAAAATATATATATATAAATCGCATAAGTAAAAGTAATTTTAACCCCATAAGTATTGACCTTATTCTAAAATGCGGAAGTGCGCCTGTTTTCGCGATTGTCTTAGAACTTCCGTTTCAGTCGCCTATGGGAGAAATGACAAGGAATAATAAACGGCAAAAAACGGTCAAACTACTTGCTCTACAAACAAATGTTTGCATGACTATACAGACCAAGTAGAATAATATAACAAGAAAATATCAGTTTGCAACATCAAACAGCGAAACGAGCAGTTTTTAATGTCTAAAAATGAATGGAAGTGAATGAGACCGGAAGTCTCGTGCCAAAAAGATTCAAATGGCAGCGCCCGCTTGTCTGCGGAGAATAAGGTCAATAAAACATATAATGCTTTCCAGTACATATTTAATTCTTTAAGGTCTAGACTTGAACTTCTTTTAAAGAGTATTAAAAGTAACAATACAAAAAATAAATATGACATTTTATCCTATAAACCTGGTTTTTGCTTTAAAATTGCCAATTAGCAGGAAAATATTCTCAAATGGTACATTAAAACTGAATTAAAAATTTCAAGGTAAATTGTGCAGTAAACTTCGGTTGGGTAATGCCGACCAATTTGGCATTGCACGATGTCTAATGTGAAACATCGCGATGGACGATGGCATCATCATCGTAGGTGGCGGTGAATTAATTATTTATGACAAATTAATTATTTGTAGCCTACTGCTTCATCTACCAAATAACCAAATCATCAATAAATAAAGATAAGGGTTGATAAAAAAGGTGCACAACCAACAGAAACCAACCAACATTATCTGAGTTTTACACTAAAATTACTAAGTACAAGCATGAAATCAAAAGATTGAAGCAGTGTACTGACGCTATGACACGTTACTTCATAGATTTAGACAGAGACAAGATTAATTAAATTCCACGTTTAATAACTATAGTGAGACACAATCGAGTGGTACATCCTTTATAAACTGTCTGATGTACACTGTGTTCTGGGGATTTGTGCTCAAAGCACCCGCTGACTGCCTGGAGCTCAGACGTGCACATAGGCTGCAGTGCATGCCAGAGTATGTGTGTGGTCACGTGGTGTGCGTATTCAGCAGTGTAGTGTGGACGAAGATCTTTTCAGGAAATGCTAGATGAAACGCCAGTGTGGACGTGGATTGTTTTCGTTCTAAAACGCCACTTTAAAACTAAGATGTATTCATGTAAACGGGGCCTAAGTGTGTATTTTTCGTGAGCAGATTGCTTCTACGAAGGGGCCTGGGCGGAGGATCACAATGCCAGCTTAGCAAATGTATTATTTCTTTCATTACAAGTGCACTTAAACATGTATTAAAAAGTACAGCTTGAAAAATACTGATAAATTGCAATAAATATGTAAATAATGTGGATATTTACAATGCCTCGGTTAACTTGTTTAAATAACAGTTGTTTAACAGAAACAATCAGCAGTTAGTGTGACAGCTGACTGCCCCTTGCTCCTTTTATTAGTATGTGCTATACAGTAGGGTCAATTTGAACAAATCCCACATTGCCAATTTCTTTCTGATGAACAACATCCTCTACATTCCTTCCTCTAGCCTCATTTCTTTTCTTGTCCACTCATGCGTGCGGCTTTGGGTTCGAGGAGGCGGCGGTTTCTCTGCAGGTATGCAGAAACTCAGATTATAATTTACAGCTCTGATTATAATGCTTTAGCAGCCAAGAAAGCCTCCACGAGCCATAAAACTCCTTGTATGTGTGGCTAATAGCTAAAGCTTGTCAGCCTCCACCAAGTGTGTGCGAAGCGTTACGCATCAATATCGCGCCAATGTCTTCTCATTTATTCAGGTGTGCTTTACTACTGCGCTGAATATGCTGAGCCGGCAGTTCCTCCATCATATACCCATCATATAAACGGCAGGCTGGAGAGAGAGAGGAGATGAAACGCAGCAGGCTCTCTTTACACAGGCCGATAAGAACTCATTCCTCAAAGACAAGTGGATCAGAGATGAAGAAGACACTGAGAGGACGAGAGATGAACTGTGATGAAAGAAGCCATGGTGAAAATACTGTACATGGGGAATAATGGTGAGAGGAGACTGTAACGCTAAAGATTTATACCCCGCTACCTCAAAGGACAGCTCCTCACATTGGTTGTGTGCCTGGTCTAATAATCCACAACCAATCAGTCTTCTTTTCAAAATTATTTGATTAAATGGCTACTAGTCATACAATAAATGCATTTTGTGAGAAATGTTTTTTTGATTTCAGCTGCACGGTGGCACAGTGAGTAGCACAATCCCCTCACAGCAAAGAGGTTGCTTATTCCAGCCCAGGCTGGGTCAGTTGGCTTTTCTGTGTGGAGTTTCCCCCACAGTTCCCCCCACAGTTTCTGTGTGGCTCCGGTTTCCCCCAGTCCAAAGACATGCGCTGTAGGTGAATTGAACAAGCTACCTTTCCATCGTGTATGTTAGTGAATAAGAGTGTATGGGTGTTTCCCAGTGTTTGGTCGTGGCTGGAAGGGCATACGCTGTGTAAAACATATGCTAGATAAGTTGGCGGTTCATTGCGCTGTGGCGGCCCCTGATTAATAAAGGGACTAAGCCAAAAAGAATGAGATTAATGTTTTTGATTTCATTACTCAGTGCCGTATCTTAAACAGAACACTGTAGGTGTGTTTTCACTTGTCTTTTGTGTTGCAAATGATAATGCATGAAGATCCATTATTGTTTGGATTTGTTTTGTTATATTTTGCCAAATATTTGTTTCAGTCTCAGAAAGTGACAACATCAATGTCCTCTAGTCTACTCTACTTGTCAATTGCTTTTCCATAGTGAAGACAAATGTGTTCCAGTAACTGGTGTAGTCTAAAGCCTAATATAATTATGGTCTTGATACTTCAATCTAAATCATATTTGGGCTTTGAACTGCTGATCCATGTGTTCATCCACTAATCTACCAAAACACAGAAACTTTTTTAATTTAACAAGATTTTTTATTTTAGATTGGCTCCAGAACCAATAATTATTGTCCAATGTTTTGCCTAATTAACCTAACTTGTCCAGTTAACCAAATTAACCAGATTACGTTCTTTGGTCCCACTTTATATTAAGTGTCCTAAACTACTATGTAGTTGCATCAAAAAATAAATACAATGTACTCACTGTGTTCATAATGTATTTGAGAACACTTGTGGTGCTCTTGAGTTGGGATAGGGGTTGGGTTATGCACAGGTTTGGTGGTATGGGTGGGTTTAAGGGTGGGTTAAGGTGTAGGGAATGGTCAGCAGTGTATTTACAAATGTAATTACAGAAGTTAGTTACAGATGTAATTACTGTACATACAGGTATTAAATCAAGCACAAGTACACATGTATTTACACAATAAGTACATTGTAACAAACTATTAGTTCCTGTGTAAGTACATATTAATTAAGGACACAATATAAAGTGGGACCCGTTCTTTAAATTGAACTTTAAGCTGAATATGAACATCTTTCAAAATAACTAGTGAAACAGTTTGTACAGTAATCACAGCAAATACAAAAATATATTTAAAGTCGTGCGACTGACACCGCATTCACCATCATTAAGCATGCATACATCTAAGCATACATTTAAAAAAACATTGCTGTAATGTCCAGTGTTGTGTTTATAATTATGATTACTTAAATGTATTAAATGAATAAGTCAAATGACTTTTAGGACATTTTTGAAAAATCTTAAATTGACTCAGTTTACAAACTGTTAATCAAAACTCTCCCATAAACTGTTTACGACCGAACAAAATTGATGGTACTACTTTGTTGTGCTGTACCTTCATTATGCCATTCCAGTTATCGCCAGTGGAGACCTGGAAAAGGGTGAGGAACGCCATGCCGAAGTTCTCAAAGGTGGCATGACGACTCATGCCTTCACATGGGTAATCTTCATTGCACACTGCAGGGAAAAGATAGAGCCATACAGTGAGTTTGCATTGTTTCAAACTTTTAAAATATACCTTTGAATGTTTGTCCCCTAAAGGCTTTGTTCTTACTTTTACTATGCACCCATACTAAATTCAGATTTGAATTGTGAAGAATTGAAACAAACAAAAAGCCAAGGAGAGAGAGAGAGAGAGAGAGAGAGAGAGAGAGAGAGAGAGAACAGAATATACATCAAACAGGAAATAAGATGAATTGTATTTGTTTACCCAGCTCTCCGAACAATTCCACCCCCAGTGCAGCATAGATGAAGAACAGCAGCATGAAGAGGAGGCCAAGGTTCCCCACCTGAAACACACCAATCAAGACTAACACCATTACACATGCATTTAGCCCTGACACAATTTACAGGCAAGAAGGCCATGATACATTTACAGTACACACAAGCATTAAGTGGATGCTTTTATCCCAAGCAAATCACAATCAGTGAATCTTACTATGCAAAAGCAAACAGCAGAATCATAATTTATACTGAATGTTTCCTTTCCTTGGGCTTAGTTCCTTATTTATCAGGGGTCGCCACAACCACAATGAGCCACCAACTATTCCAACATTTGTTTTACACAGCGGATGCCCTTCCAGCCGCAACCCAGTACTGGGAAACACCTATACACTCTTGCTTTCACACACACTTATACACTACAGCCAATTTAGCTTAATCAATTCACCTATAGCGCATGTCTTTGGACTGTGGGGGAAACCAGAGCACCCTAAGGAAACCCACGAGAAATGGGTAGAACATGCAAACTAGACACAGACATGCCAACTTGCCCAACCGGGGCTCGAACCAGTGACCTTCTTGCTGTGAGGCGACAGTGCTAACCACTGAGCCATGCAAACTAAACAATCTGGTTGTGTGAAACTTTTCCAATATTTATCCATAAAGCCAGAACCAAATATTTTTAAGAAGCCAAGCTGCATAAAACAAGAGGAATTATACTGTAATGCAAAGTTAATTTATTATAAGAATGTCCATATATTCTTTCTAGAAAAGAATAAACAATAAACAGCCTAGGTGAAGACATAATTGCCTAGGTGAAGACATAATTAAGTTGTTACATAATATATTAAATTGTAGGTTGTTTTAACCAAATCGTATTGTGTTTCTCCATAATTTTATTTTATTTGTTTAATTAAATTCTAATTTTGTAGTACAAAAGAAAAAATAGCACACAACATCATAAATACTTTTGGGCTTAGTCCCTTATTTGCCAAGGATTGCCACAGCGTAATGAGCCACCAACTATTCCAGCGTGTTTTACACAGCGGATGCCTGGGAAACACCAATAAACTCTCACATTCACACACACTCATCCACTAAGGGCAATTTAGCTTATTTAATTCACCTTTTGCGCATGTGTTTTGGACCTTTTCTTCAGAGCACCTGGAGGAAACCTACGCCAATACGAGGAGAACATGCAAACTCCACACAGAAATGCCAACTGTTCCACCCGGGACTTGAACTTGACCTTGGTGCTGTGAGGTGACAGTGCTAACCACTGGTTCACGGTGCTGCCATTATACTGAATGTACGCAAGCTAAACAATCTTATAGCTAAACAAATATTTGTTGCGAATTAATTTTTGTTTAATATAATGTAGTTCAATGTAGTAAAAAATTTAGTTAAACATAAAATGCCTTAAACCTTTCCTGAATTTATCCATAAAGCCAGATCCACACCTAAACTTAAGAAGCCAAACTGCCCTCAACAAGAGAAAAAATACTGTAATCCAAAGTTAATTTATTATAAGAATGCTTATATATTTTCTCTGGAAAAGAACAAACAATAACAAACAGCCTAGGTGAAGATTTTTGGTACATAAAATATTAAATTGTTGTTTGTTTTAACCAAATCTTATTGTATTCCTACACAATTTTTATGCATATACTGTATGTATTTATTTAATTATGTATTTTGCATTTATTTATTTATTTATTTATTTATTTATTTATTTATTTATTTATTTATTTATTTATTTTGTAGTCCAAAAGAAAGAAGAGCACACAACATCATAAGTGCCTTTTTTTACATTTTCATTTTTGGGTTAAATATCCCTTTAAGATAAAAACTTTATTGTAATATTGAGTAAAAACAAAAAAAAAAATAATAATAATGGAAAGGGGCATAAAAACAAAGCAATGTAATCTACATTTTAATGCTCCTGCATTTTGAGAATCCATGTTATCGTAGTTTAAGCTACTGCTGTACCTGTTTCCCTGCAGCAAAATGAAGCAGAACAAATTTATGATTTAACAAAAAGCTCATAAATGATGGATGGCACTGGTGGCCATGTCAGAGGTGCAGCTGCGGGAACAGAATTAAGCCTCTTAATGGAAGAAATGACCTGTGTCCTAATGCAGCCAGAGCACATGGAGCAAGCAGGCTTGCAAGGCTAACTATGCTAACGCTAATAATAACACACTAGCCTGTCAAAAATATGTACAGGGTGTGTCCACCAAAGCACAATCACCTCAAAACAAAACAGAGAGATGAGATACAACTAAAAGTGATGAAAAATTCAGCACAGGCGCTAACTGCCAGCCTAAAGTGCTGCCAGTTATGAAAACTGTGCGAGAGAGCTATAAACATGAAAAATGGAGAATAAAACAATTAGCTGGATCACATTATTGTAATTTGTATAGTTACAGAATGTGCTTGGTCGTGTTATTTTATATTGCATGCCAGCAAGTACGATAAAACAACAGCTGAGCTTTATTAGCATTTAATGCTAAGTAATATCAAGCTGCATTCAAAATGCTACAAAATGACAAAGCTTTGACCTCAAGATGTTTAAGACTGTGACTTAGAGCCAGTATGTGTTTATGACAACTGTGAGGAGGGTGATTTTTTTTTTTATAACTCATTCGCTTTGTTTTTATTAAATTATATTAAGTCTGTATTATTAAGGGTGTGGCTAGTTGATTGACAGCTAGGTCTCACTGGTCGCCCTTATGTCATTCCGGCTGATTAGATGCTAAACTCAGCATATATATCATATTTTTGCTTTGTTTTATGTAGCTTTACACATTCAAGTTGTCTCCATTTTCCAGGTGAGGGAAATTTTTTATATAACATATCTATAAATGTTTTTGTTTTATTATAGATAACGTTTCACTTATATTTTTTCTTTAGGCCTGTAATGCACTCCAGAATCTGACAGATTGATTAGCTGTAGGTGTCAGAAAGCCTGCTTGATGGACTAGGAACTAAAGTTCGTTGCATGTTTCTAGGGGGGACATTTAGTTTATGGGACATGCTGTTATGTTCTCCATCATTGCTAGCTCCTGCTGATGTTGTTTTCTGTAATGCGTTCATCTTATACAAGTAAGTTTTAATCTGAAACATCTAATACTTATGTAACATGCATGCTGATACTATTTTGAGGTCTATATCGCCTATAATGTTCCGCTATAGCGGTTATTTGCGGCCGCGATTGCCGCGATAATTCTGCTGAGTCATCGCCATTAAGCCAGAGCTATAAATAGCCTTTATGGACGGCCGATCAGCGTGTTTGCTCATATGAACGGACATTTTTTAGACTGTTGTTGCTAATTAGACTGTCACATTCCTAACAGACATTACTGTTAATATGTTTGAGTTTAATATGGACATTTATGATGAATGTTATTGTTGCAGTCTATTGTTTCAGTCAATGTTAATGTCAATTCATAGTCAATAGTAGTTTGTAATTATTTCTTTATTTGTTTTTCCTTTGTAGAACATTATATCTTATTCATTTCTCACTACCATTACCCATAATTGAGCAATCTGATGATTATGTTGAAGAAAATAAATATTTCAAACGTCAACACTTCTCCTGCCCTCCTGATTCTCTGACCGGAATCTGGTCCATATTTGGCCGCCTCAACCAGTGGAAAATTTACATGTAGTAAGGTTTACTACATTATTATGGTCCTTCGAGCCGGAGTGAGAGCAATATAAAACCAGTATGGACCGAACAGGAAGTGACACTGAGAAAATGGATAGAACCCGCCGCAGGACACATCTGCCACCTCACCTGGATGATTATGAAGTTGATTACCAACCTTTACAGGACCCTCCCCCAAAAGCTTCTACAACCTGTCCCAGTCATTCTAGAAGCAGCTCGAGGAAAACGTCCCGCAGTGGTATCAGCTCTCATTCTAGGACGAGTAGACGTTCTGTTACCTCCACTGGTGTTTATCTCCCACCAGAACTCTCTAGTGTCCAGACAGCTGTTTTGGAGGAGAAGATTAAGCAGAGACAGTTTGATAGTCTACAGCAGCAGGTACAGGAGGACTCACTAGCTGACGTGGAATATCAGCGCCTGCAGACACAAGCAAAGGAAGCTCAGCGTATTCAGGAGGAGGCTCTTGCAGCTAAGGAAGCTTTGTCCAAGCATCTAGAGAGACAGCGGAAACTACAACAGGCAGAGACTGAGCTTGAGGTAGCCAAACTTGTATCTTCAATGCTTATTACAAACTCTGGTTCAAACACTCCCAGGCCTTTAGGCTCACCAGACAGCCCATCGCCGCCACCTCAACCTGATCAGACTAATGCATCCAGGAGTCCACAGTCTACCTCCTCTTCTCAGCTTCCACCTCCGCTACCAACAGTCACATCATGTGATGACATTTCACAGCTGTCACTTAGACCACTGGCGCTAACATTACCTACCACCACAGTGAGTGTTTCCTCTCCTTCAACATTCCCGTTATTACAAGCAGTCTCATCATCAGTCGTTACAGTATCTGAGACTGCCCCCAAAGCTATGCCATTAAACACAGTGACATCAGTTCCACATGTGACACATCAGCCTTTCTCTGTAGCAACAGTTATGTCCACTATTGGCCAGTCTATGAGTAGAAGAGGGCCATCTGTACCAAAGCAGTCTAACACTGCCCCACTGATAATGAATATGAATCCATATGTGATGCAGCAGTCATTCATCCCTCCAGTGAGCACACACGCATATCAGCAGCAACCTCCAATCACCAGCCAGCAGGCCTCAGCTCCGCCACCTAATGTCAGATCTGCTCAGCCACATTCATTCATGCCTCTTCCCCACACATACCCTGGTACAGAGCTACTGTTTGCCTCAGCTTATGGCATACCACAACCCAAGCTACCAGTATTTGAGAGTGGTAATGAAAGTGACTTTGCCTTGTTAAAACTGGCCCTAGATAATTTGCTAAGTAATCACAGCTATCTTAGTGAGCAGTATAAATATCATGTACTGTTAAGTCATTTGAAGCTACCCAGCGCACAGCAGCTAGCGAAAGCTTACATGTATCATTCACATCCATAC